GACAAAACAAAAAATGGTCAAGCAGTTGGAACAACATTTACAAGTTGGAAAACAGAAGGATCACTGGTAAATGTTTTAGTGGACCCAAGAAAGCTGCTGTTGGTGAAAGCTGAGAAGCACTTTGATTTATACCATAGTGCTCCTCCCGGCAAGGGTCAGGATTTGGTGGGACCAGGTATCTCTGGAAGTAGGGGTAAGAGTGGGATTCGACACAGGAATATTGTTTCAAAACATCTTTTTAAGAAACAGAACTCTAGGATACATGGCACGATGCTAATAGCCCCTTCCCTGGCTCCACAGACCACTTCTCTGGAGTGGATAAAACAGGGTCTTTGGAGGACACTGACACAGTTGAGGGAAAAACACCATTCTAAAAACAAGGAAATTAAGTGACCTTACTATATTTTGAAACACCCAGTCTTCTTGTCTAATTTAGCTTCCAGAACACTGGTTGCCAGGCATTTACTCCCTGGGTAGGATATTGAGGAAGACTATACGGCAAATCTAAGAGAAAAGATCCAATGACCTTGACATCTGGGGATGAAATGAAAGTGCTCAAATAGATCATTCTATAGTGGAATAATCAACAAGACCCACCCAGGCACAGAGCTTCCAAATAGCATTTTAGTACTTCATCCATATGGTCATTCTTCTATGTAGTGATCCTAAATACAAAGAGGGCAATAAACACCATATAAGGCTGTCTCCAGGAAACGCATCTAACCTGCAAGGATACATTTCAACTCAAAGTAAAGGGGTGGAAAACAATATTTCAAGCAAATGGAAGCCAAAAGAAGGCTGGTGTGGCAGTTTTCATCTCAGACAACTTGGTTTTTAAATCAACAAAAGTCATGAAAGACAAAGGGGGTCACTATATAATGGTGAAGGGTACAGTTCAACAAGAAGACATAACAATTCTAAATATGTATGCACCCAACTTAGGTGCACCCAGATTCATCAAGCAAACTCTACTTGATCTAAACAAATTGATAGACAGCAACAGCATAATAGTCAGAGACTTCAACACCCCACTGACAGCACAGGA